AATTGTCGAAATAATTTCAAATTATTTCAGTAATGGGAAAAGATTTAAAAATCCATTGAACACCATTATAAAAATAAAATAAGATAAAAAATATCGAAAAAAAACTATTAATATTTTAAAATTATTTTTAGAGTGGCACTTAAAGTACATTGGTATTTAAAAACTTTAAATTGATATTTTATAAAGCGAGTTACCTACACTATAGAAGAGCAACACGTAATTCAAAGAAACTCAAAATTAAGCGACGGACTTGATGTATATGAAGTCACCTTTGTAACAAAGGTCACTTTGTCTAATTAGAATAACAGCTGATTTGAAGATCAACTTGACTGAGTTGAAGCATTGAAAACATAACTGAGATTCTTCAATGACTGAAACTATTGAAAAAATTTCAAATTTTTCCCCTTAGTAACCGTGGTTTTTGTTTTGGTTTTTTTTAATTATTTTCCACTTTGTTTTTGCTATTTTTCTAATAGGTTGTCATAAGGCTAGAATGTGCGCCCCATTTTTTGTACTCTCTGTTCGTTTCAAATTTAGAAAATCACAACCCAATTTTAGGAAATTCAAATACGAATTTGATTTCTCTTTAAATATCCATAGGAGTTTATAGAGCAAAATCCATTTTTGAATCTGTCAAATTGCTTTTCAGAACGGAAAAACACAATTTTACAAATAAATAAATAAATAATTTTTAATTTTTATTGTTAAGAAGAACTTTTTTAATAATTTTTACTGCAAAAAATGAAATATTAATTTTAAAATTTGCAGGAAGCGAATTTTTCTTTCGATTATTTCGACTTTTAAAATTCATTTTCATATTTTTTTATTATTTGTTGAAAATAATTCCAAATTTTTCTAAATATAAACTTTGATATTAAATTATAACACCCTCTTTACAAAAGGAAAATATTATCTAATTCTTAAACTTTTTATTCAGTTAGAAAAAATATTGAGTCTTTACTTTAATTTCTTCTTTTTCTGCAATTCGTTCTACTTTTTCCCTGTGAAATAAAACCATTTTCCTCATATTTTATTATACGAAAAAACAAAAATTTTTAAATTTTCAAATTCTGTGTTTTTTTTCCCAGTTTTCTTTCCTTGGTTCACCAATTATTAACCAAGAGAAAAGCCAAAAAAAAGGAAAGAAAATCTAAAAAAAACTCTAATCTGTTAAGATTTACACAAAAAACACCAAAGCACACAAACACACACACACAATTACATGCACTTGAACTTTATTCTTTTTTGCTTTTTTCTTCTATCCTCACTTACTTTAAAAAAAAATACCCTTATTAGAAGCAAATATAACCAATATGCTGGTCTGTGGTTTTACTTGCAACTACATATAATTGTATGTATATAACGGTACATATAAAAGAACCAAGTGAAAAAGTTTTGGCGAAAACAAAAACAATTGCAAAAATTTTTGAATGCAAAATTTATAACTTTGTAAATCTTTATATAATATTGCACATACATACAGTACACACTGTATATATGTAGCTACTTAAAATAGAAATTCCATAAAATGAAAAAGAAAAAAAACATGAAAACGATTGTTGGTTAATGCATTCAGGATTCCACACACAAAAACACACACAAAAATAATATAAAATTTAAACGCAGAACAAACAAACGAAATATTTGGTAGACATTTACATATATATTTACCACTATTACCATACCTACATATGAATTTTGAAAATGTCTAGGACAACACTACAATATGCACTCGGCAAATGTAAGCTAAAAAGTTAAAAAGCTTATATATGTACATTTTTATTGTACATAAGTGTAAAAGTCATAAGAGCAACAAAAATGTAATTTTAACTTCAAATTACAGAAAAAAAAAAATTTTTAAATCTCTGAAAAAAATAGAGAAAAAAAAAGGACTTAAAATCAAGTATTGATTCAGGATGTCTGTAGAGTTCTAAAAGTTCAAATGAGGTCTTTTGTTTTTCATTTTTCACAATTTTTTTTTTACTTGTTTCGGTGCTTTTAATAGTAGAATTATAAAAAAACAAGAAAAAACACAACAAGGAAATAATTGTTTGTCTTCAGTCTGAAACCAGAGCTGTGAGACAATTTGTTTCTCAACTATTATAAAAAATTGTTTGGAATGGAAAAAAAAATTAACAAACATTTGAACATTAAAAAAAACATAACTGCATTTTTTTGTCATATTTTTTCAGATTTGTTTAACTTTTATGATTTCAAATCACCATTAAAAATACAACCAAAGTACAAAAAAACATAATAAAAAATTATAAAAAAAAATTGACTTTTCAATAGAATTTTCCAACTTTTCCAAAAAATTTTCATTTTAATTTCTTCTTCTTTTTTCTCCATATCGGTAGATTGCGACCCATTTTATATTAAAATCCATTACTCCTTTACCTCATGTCAGCCAATATTCCGAAAATGAATACATTTGTGTTATTTTTTCTCTTAAATTTTTTTTTTGTTTTTGACCAAATGAAATCCTGTATAAGGATAATAAAATTATATTTTATTATCATTGTTCTTCTATTCTACTCTTTTTTTTTTGCCTGTTATTGCCTCATAAATGCTCGTTTGCATTTTTAGAAAATTTTCGATATTGAATTTGGAAATTTTAAACCATTTGAATGAACACCGAAAAAAAACGAAACAAAACGCAAAAAAAAACACATAAAAAATAACAAAAATAACAAACAATATGTTGATAAAAAGAGAAAAAAAATGGAAAGGATACTATAACAGGACATACAATATAACACAAAATATAAACAATAATAATAATAACAAATAATCATAATAACAATAACAATAATAATTTTTTGGTAATAAAACGTGCTTTTACACATCAATTTTTATACGTACGTACCATCTCCAAAGTATACCAACCTAAAATTATTGTTCAAAAATCAAAAATAAGAAATCGAACAAAACTCAAATGTGAAAATAAACAAAAAAAAAAATAAAACGAACAAAACAATAAAACAAATTGAAACAACAAAAAATTTCATAAAAGGATGAAAACCCAACAAAAAAAAGGAAAAACAAAAGGGCATTACCGATTAGTTCAATCATTCTTCTATATACGAGTATACATTCATTTATACACTCAAATTGTATTTCTTCGTATACATATTCGTATAACATGTATTTGTATTGAACATATAGATATGTACACATATACTGTAAATAATTATATATTAATACAAGACACATTGATAATATTTAGGAAAAGTCTATCTCAATAATACCATAAAAATAAATATTTTGAAAAACAAAGTAACTATATAGAATAAAAAAAAAAACAAACAAAATGAAATTACTTATAACAAGAGGTAGAGAGTAAAATGATTGAGGATTGAGGAGTGAGAACAGATATGAGATGAGGAAAAAATGTTTGTTGTTACTTTGTTGTAATTTAATTGGGAAAAGTATTACCTATACTCTCTTTTTTGCTTCTTTTATTCTCTTAAAATTTCGGAAATGAAGTGTTTTTTGAGAGTCTTATATAAAATAGGTTTAAATAGAAAAGAATTAAATTAATAATAAAATTAATGAATTGTAATAAGCACATTTTCTTTAAATTTTTAATATTCTAAAAAATTTCAAGATAGTCGAAATTTCAAGATTTTTTAAATCCAGCTCCAAATCGATTGTAAAATTAATTTAAAAATTAAAAAAGAAGTGATTCCTTCAAATTTATACGTATATTAGAACGTCCCATTAAAGATTTGCAATCGATTTCGAAGTTCAAAGAAAAGAATAAATTCGGAAGCTCAACCTTTTAGAAACAGATTAACTACGCAATATTTACTGCTAATGCTATTAATGTTTTATTTTTAGCCACAAATTTTCATGAATCTTTCTTTGCTAATTTTGGAATATTTAAACTTTTTGGTTCCAGTATAATTTCGTTTCCAGCTGTTTTAATACTTTCCAATTCTATATTGTCTACTAGTGAAAATTGCATAGTTTCAGGCGAAGCTCAAAATAGAAAACACAAAATATGAACTTTATTAGTTAAAGCAATGAAATATCAATAAAATTATAATAATTATAATTTATAGTTGATGTTTTAATTTTATTTACTAATATTTTAAATTGTGCATTTAAAATTTTCAATATTGTTTTTTTTTTGATAATTGATTCTTGACATTGTATATATAGAAACCAAAATACTCTTTTACAAAATATTCATATACACGAGTACTTAAAATTCTTATGAAATCTAAAATTAAATTTCTATCGAAAAATAAATGAAATTGAACTTAGTTTGAAGATTACATTCAACATACGTTCGTTCTATAAATTAATATTTTAGTTTATCCAATCGTAAAATAATACGATTTCAATTCAAAACTTAATTAAAATTCTTTAGAGTTTTAGAATTAGTATCAAATGAGAAAACAAGAATTTACTATTGAATTTTATTTTACTATTATGTGAAATTCCAATTTAAATAAAAAATTTGTTCATTACATTTTATATTTTTAAACTGCCATCAATATTAAAATTTTTTTCCATTACATTTTCGTTATTTTCCTAATAAATTTTCGAGATTTACCAAAAAAAAAAAAAATAATATAGAAAATTGAAATATACTACTGCATATTTATTTAATCACACTTGAATGAATTTCTAATGAAATAGTGTTTGCTTATAAGTACACTTACTACATATAAAAAGCAATAATAAGTCTTGACTTTTTAATTGAAATATTGCGTATAAATGTAGATGAACCAACAAAACATACCCAAAATCAATATAATAAACAAGATTTTCTCTAAAAAAAAAATTTTATTTTTATTTTTATTTTCTTTTTTACAAGAAAATATGATAAAAAATAGAAATAAAAATTAATTTTAACATTTTCATTTGTACAAGGACCAAAAAAATCACATAATCCTAATCGATATTATTAAATATATATATATATATGTATTGAATTTACCATTCAATTCCTAATCATAATGATAATGATTGTGATGATTATTGTGATGATAATGGTAATGGTAATATTCTCAAAATACCATTGGATAATTCAATAGAATGAAGTGAATTGAATTGACTGAAGTATTTTGTATAGAGTGAAGAAAGAGGGAAGCAAAATCAAAATACAAAATACAAAAAATATAAGGAAAATCTGTAGGTGTTGTTATGATACAAAAGTAATACAAGGATACCAATTTAACTTTTTTTTTTGTTTATACTAACATAATATATAAAATGTGTACACACTCATTATATACATGGGTACATATTTGTATACATGATAAAAAAGAAAAGCTAATAAAGCTATTAAATAAAAGGCAGATGGTCGTCTGAAAATAGATTTTTCTATTTTCCTGTTTTGATTTTATTCTATTTTCTTTTTTTGCTTCTCTCTTCGTTGTTTTTATTTTTCTTTAATTTTTGGCTTCTTTTGCTTTTGTTTCTTCTTCAACTCCTTATAAACTTACTATAGAATTCAATATATAAAATTGCTATACAAATTCACTTGTACAACAAATGCGGCCCAAACATGGAGTCTTCTGTATTGTTTTATATTTTCTATATATGTAAAATTAAAAATATGGTATGAGTTTAGGTATTGAATATTTTCTATATCTACGTATATATTAATATAATATAATGTACAATATGCGATAAAGAGATTTTTGAGAAGTGTTATAATTTATTATAAGTAATTGAGTAATTTTTAGGAAATTTTTAGCAATAAATACAAATAAAGAAAAAATAGAAAATGTAAAAAGATTATTTTATAAATAAATAAAATTTTAATATTTATTATTCGTTTACATCAGAATTTCTTAATTATTATTGAAATTGAAGTATTTAATACGAAAAATTGCGAATTTTTTTTTAAATACTCTGCGATTAAATTTAATGAATTTTAATATTTTAATGTGGTGCTATTTGTTTAAAAAATATTTTTTTTGTTTTATGAATTCTAATACTTTGTATATTGAAACTAGCCGGAAGCAGGCGTTCTAAGAAATTCCCAAATCCTATTGTTAGTTTTGTTTTCAATTGAAAATGCGATACTTTTAGTACGAAATGTGCAAAATTCAAAATCGCTTTACTCTTCAAATTGTTCGGTAATAAATTAAGAGTTAAAAATTTTAAAGTTTTTAAGATTATAATTTAACGAGCAATATAATATATGACCTTAATTAATAGACTAAAACACATTCTGCTTAAAAATACTTTGTCTTTAGGCAAATGGTACAATAAATTGCAATCTTAACTTGCGTATGACATATACAGCATGACATAAGTATAATTATATTTTCTACTTTAAATCTGATAAAATTTTGTAAAATATTTTAAATTTTTATACCATTCTATTGTCATCCTATGTTCATTTTTATCATAAAAGAAAATAAATAAATTTTTATGTGTTCGTACGTTTTTCAATAAATTTTTGTACGTAATTTCATCTGCAATGCAAAAAAATCTAAATTTTTTAAAACATTTTTAATTCTATCAAATATTATTATACACAACTCCCTTAATGTTGCATCCTTTTATGTAATACAAAATAAAAATTGTTTTATAGAACAAACCCTTCGTTACACACTTTTAATTTAATAATTTGGTTTTACTTTGATGGGTCGCCAAATCCCTAATCTGATTTTAACTTACATATATACAAATATATAAATTTAACAAGCTTTCAATAAATTACTATAATATTATTAACTTAACATAGATTCTGTTTTTCCTCTGAGAAAATCCATATTAAAATCAACTACCAATTCATGTTATATAGTAAATGCATTTTTGTAAATGCAATATTCAATTTAAAAAAACATTTTACTCAAATTTAGTTTTATATATGAATAAAAATTAAATATTTACACATGCATTCATCTATAGAAAATTCTATATTTTATAAGCCTATGTAATAAAAAATTAAAATGTAACTAATAAGAATTTTCAATTTTAATATTATTTTTCATTGAAATTTTTTCCGATATTTATATTTGAAAGAATAATTTACTATAATCTACCAATTGCCACTTTGTTCAACTTCGAAATTGTAATATTTGCAAAAGGCGGAAGCCGTAAAACTTGAAATGTAGATGTTCCAAGCGATACCCTCTAAAACAACCTCGGGTGATTGAAGATCACAAAATACTTAAATTTTCCAGAGAGATAGATTTTGAGAAAATGCCTTGGTTCTAATGTTTAATCGTATAATGGGGAAATATTAAATCATTTTCTTTGGCTCTTGTGCATTTTTTCACTACAAATTATAAGCTAAAAATCTTAATTTAATGCCTTTAACATCCAATGTAATATATATCCTGATCATTCAATTCCATTTTTCTACCAACAAAAGTTACTTATTGGATGTGCAACCCTTAGAATTTCTTTCGTAAATCACCAACTCTTTCTCTTTTGAAAATAATTCTGTATTCTCGAAATTATACTATTTGATTTATTAACAAACTGTGAACATTTAATTGGAAATATTTAATAAGTAGCTCAAAAGTATATTCATATCAACTTGGACGAAAATTAACAACATATTCGAGTACAGACCATAAGCCAGAATCTAAACTAATAACACTTTCGAACTGAAACAAACTAAAATATCTTTTATTGGACATTATCAATATCGAAATAAAATTTTTAAAATATAATATTTTTTTATTACTTTATTACATTATATAATTCCACAAAAACCAAAAATAAATATTTAAAAATTTAATTGCATTTCGCATAATATTATTATATCGAGCCATAGAGGGAAGTAGACAAAAAAAAATTTTTTTTTTTAAATAAAAATCAATTAAAAATTTAAAATAAAATTACATTTTATTTAAAAGTAATTTCATGTATTGAATTTTTGTATAATGTGAATGAAATACATAAATATATTATAATACATTATGTACATGACCAGAATATAAATAATTTTAAAATATAAATAAAATTAGATGCACTCAATTTATTACAATCATCATGCACTAATTATTGTTTATACGTGAATTTCCACCTTTCATAAAATAAACATACTGCTACATCCGTATACTATTATTAATGTTGAACAAAATTTCCCAATTTAAAAAAAATATAGTTTTTTTTATACAATTTTCAAGGATAATTTCTATATTTATATTTAACATATTTTTGTCACAGAAATAAAAAATAATTTTAATATTTTGAAAATTTTTCGAAAAAAAAATGTGATTATTCGTCCCAGTTCTGATCGTCTGTTTATGCTTGGATATTTCGTTCAATAATTTCTATATACCTTGAGGCAAAAATATGAAGTTTGTTATTGTATTAAATCTTTCCCTATCTTTCTCCCCGATTTTAAACGAATGAAGTCTTTAATATTTGGTCTTTGTATTCAAAATTTTCGAAATTATTTGAGTTTCCTTGTATAAAATTTTACGTGTACCATAGTATTTATATTCAACTCATAGAACTGTTAGAGTCCTTTAATTTTTTTCATAATAAAAAAATTCATAATACATTAAAAATATTCAAAATAAAGAATGCTTGAAGATTTTTGGAAAAACGTTTGTTTTGGAAACACGTAAACGAAATTTTTTCATGTTAAATAAATTTTAGAAAATTGGTGGGTTCGCCTTAAATTGCTGCCATTCTATAATGTAAATGCAATTTAAAATGCTTTTTTTGTAAGTTTTTCATATTACTTACTTAAAATAATTATGAAAAATAAAATTATATATAAATTTTAATGTTAAAGTATATAAGATTAAATAAAGGTTGAAATAGCGAGAATTGATTTAATTGTTCGACAATCTATAAATTGATAAAAATTTATCCACTTTTTAACCAAATTGAATAAAAAAAATAATATAAAATATAAAAATTATTGCTTGGTTAAAAATTTAAAATATATTGGTTAAGTTACCAATAATTTTCGGTATTAATGTGATGATTTTAATTCATTATTATTTGCTATTTTACGTGCATTCAATAAATATTACGTGCATTAAATAAATTTTTCCAAAACTTAAAACGTTTAAAATGATGTTGGGGCACTAACTAGAATAATAGACATTTTATAAGGCTTTCATTTAATCATAAAAAAGGTAAAAATGCTTTAATTACGATATTTGTAATATTGTAATAATTATTTGTAATACCGTAATTAATTATGAGTTCGTAATTTATCGCTAGAGAAAATCACTTTTTTTAGACAATTTTATAAAGAGAATTCTGAATTTCTCAATTAGGTTTTTGAAATAATCTCTTATGTTCTCAATTCAATCTCCCACTTTTCCCAAAATCCTCCTTATTTTCAAATTAATAAACCGTCAGAGGCAATTTTTATTCTTCTAAATAAAAATTTTATTTTTTAAATTTTGTACTACGCAATATTCAATTCTATTACAATTTTATTCAACTCCCATAGCATTCAACAGGAAAACACTATTTTATACAACGCACATATTTTAAAACTTATCGTGCTCATAATAAAGAAGCAACATGCCTTGTACCCTATTTTAAATAATTTTCTTCTTATTATAAAATAATACACAATTATCATAATGATTTAAAATAAAAAAATAGAAAAAGAAATCAACATTATTCTTAATGTTAAATGAAGTGAAAACCCTTCAAAAAAGAAGAACCGTGTTTAATAACTAAATTTTAAACAAAAACAATAAAAACAAAAGAAAACGTCATTTTCGAAAACGATATTATTTTACGGCAACATTTCAACAACATATTATTATTCTTATTATCGTATATGGTTCTGACACAATTTTAAGATGCTGAGGAAAAGTGAAGAATTGAATGCACTTTACTACAATTTTTTTTTTATGCATCCTTTTGCTTATATTATAGGATTTCTTTTGTACTTTTGTACACATTTAAAAAAAAAAAATTATTATTTTTTTTATTTTTTACAAAATGAATTTTATAATTACTATTGTACTTTAAAAGTTGTTCTAGATTTACGTTCTTTTAAATATTATAGAGCTGTTTAACACAATTAAGACAAAATAATTAAAGTTTTCAATAC